ATATATCACACAAACGTTTGTTTTCCTTTTACATGTGACCTTCAGCGGACTTTTATTGTTTTGTTTTGTATATAGAGCTAACCCTTTTTCTTTGCTTATCTTTTCTACCCCCACATACACATGAGTCACATACAAATAAAGTGCAGCTTTTTTAATCTTAACATATTACAGAGTTCAAAGTTCATCTGTATGGTTCTTTATCATGACCAGCAGAGTATCAATAAACCATTTAAAAAATCTGTGCAGAAAATTGCAGAATGTTAAAACCACACAAGCAAAAAGTCCCTGGAACAACACTTTGTGAAAAAAAAATAGTTGGAAGTTCAGTCTGAACAAAATATATTATGTACAAATATAACAGTTTAAGTGCACACACGGTACAGAGTCACACTCTGTTAAAATCTTTTTGTAATAAATTACATCAGTAGGCATATACTAAACATTCACTGACCTCATTCTAAAAGGAAAACTAAAACATTTACAAACCAGGAAGAGACAGGACAGCATGTCTCTTTACTGAAAATAAACAATTGAAGAGAATGCCAAAGATTGCAACTGTTCAATGCTAACGTATTGTCCTTATGGTCCATTTAAGGTCAACCTTTGGCTTGTGACATCCGGAAATAATAGATATATTAAAAACACAGACCTGAGAACAGCAACCTGGCACAACAGCTCAGACGCAACCTACAGCATATCCCTCAATGGATAATGTCACTGCACATTGTCAACAATTTACCAGCCTACTGGCTCATACCAAGGTTAGTTGCTATGTTAAATCACAGAAGAGGTGTTTTGAAAACCCATTTTGTCTTCACTACTGCTGTAGTGATGTAGCAACGCACTACTGTCCCATGTGATGTGTTCACATTTCTATATTTCTGTTCATTCTTGTCTTCATTTCACCTGTAGCCTACAGTATGTCTGAGGAAATGCCATTTTTATGAAGTCGTATTACATTATTGAAACATTGTCAGCTTTATTCTATGAAAACTCACAAAACATCCCTGCAGCTACATTTCTAAAACTGAGAAACTTGATTAACAAAATGTACAAATATTTCTGCATACTTTTATACCTCTATAAACAAACTTAATAAATATATTTTCGTTTTTCCTCTTTAAATAAAACTCCATTTAAAAAGATAAAAGAAAAAAAGATTCTTTTACAGCAGTGCAGCAAATTATTCAAGGTAGACGGTCAGGCCTTATGGTAACCATTTTTGGCTTTTTTTAAGGGTTCAAAGTTCTCATAAATAGTGAGTGCAGCTGTGTTCTGGTAAATCAAATCTACATTGTTTCCAGTCCGAGACTTGATGATGTCCATGGAGCACTGGTTAAGAAACACATATTGATCCTGCAAAAGTAGAGAATGTAAAGGCCTGCACTGTTAGAGAATACATTTAAGGAAGATTTTTATATATATATATATATATATATATATATATATGAACATTTAGCCTATATATATCAAATCTACATTGTTTCCAGTCCGAGACTTGATGATGTCCATGGAGCACTGGTTAAGAAACACATATTGATCCTGCAAAAGTAGAGAATGTAAAGGCCTGCACTGTTAGAGAATACATTTAAGGAAGATTTATATATATATATATATATATATATGAACATTTAGCCTATATATTTAAGCATATATAAAAGAACATTAAATAAAAAATGTGGTAATGAATGTACCTCTGTTTGAACCATGAGTGGTCTGTGCATGCGTAAATCGTGGATGATCCCATATACATCTACTACACCATCCCGCTCAATCTGAAAGATTAAACGATCAATGGCGATGAAGGTTCCCGTCCGGCCCACACCAGCACTGTATTATGAAAACAAAAAATATGATGAAAATGACATTTTTCTTTGTGGGAGTATAATAACAAAACATCATTGAGTAGACCTGTTTGTATATTCGAGTTCAGGAACTATTCAAGTACCTGCAGTGCACAAGTGTGGGTGAATGTCTTGAGTACTGGTCCATGTGTTCTCGGACCAGGTGTCTGAAGTTGATGAGAAGCTCAGTGGTCTCAGGAACTCCATGGTCTGGCCACGCAGTGAAATGGAAGTGACGAACTGATCGAGACTCTGCTGTTTTCACCTGTTATGACAGGAATCATTTTTCCCAAAACATTGACACAGTACTTTGCATGAGGCATAACGTTATAATTGAGACATATTGCAAACATATTACCGAGAAGATAATTATGACTTTAGAAAATGTGTTACTTTGTTAATTGTTTGATATATTAATGTATTTTTTTATTTAAATGTATGATCATTTCCCAACCTAAATATTATGTGTATAAATAAAATGCATAAATACAAAAAGTATGGGCACCAATGTAGCAGAAAAAAACAAAACACTGACAAAAATGTGGTGCAGTTATAACAGTTACAGTATGTTTATATTTTTATTCATGATTTTGTGTAATATTTGGTAAAGATAGCACCTGGATCCATCTATAATATTAATACAGACTTACATTTTTCACTTCAAAGTCATGTAAAGTCCAATCTTCCAATGTGATCTCGGAAGTATTTGTCACGGTCAGATTGTGAAAATGTTTTGTTTCTGCTGGCCAGTATTCCTCACATTTTACCTGAGAGGGACAAAACATTGTGGCAGCATTCATTTAAGCTCATTATTAGTTCAATACCCGAGATGAGGTATTACAAATGATCACAAATTGCTGAATGAGGATACGAACATTGAATAGGTTGTGGTCAAGTGATTAAGACTTTTAAAGGTGCAGTAGGAGATCTTGGAAAATGCTAACTTTAGCCTGATAGCACTGAAAGCGACCGTCCCACCCTCCCTGCAATCGCCGTCCAAAGCCACGCCCTCTGAACGCCTTTACGCTCACAGACCAGAATACCAGCGACAACATTACTACAATAGGCTACATCAGCGGTTCCCAATTCCAGCCCATGTTCCGAAGTAAGGGGGAAACTTCAAAGGATTTCCCCTGCTGAGGGAGTAGGGAGCAATGAACACTGTGTAGGGATCATATCGATTGGAACACAGTTCATGCACGTAGCTCACTTCTAACGAGCTGGCGCGAGGACTGGATTAACCACTGGGCTACATCATGTGTCATTCACCGGTGAGAAAACATTAAAGGTACTACAATACCAGGAAGGAAGATGGGGTTGTTGATGTTTGTCTGCCATTCTCGCTCTATCTGCACAGCATGCGTGAATGCGCTGATGATGTATCCTGTCTGCGCGAACCAGGTGCGCAGAGGTATGCAAATACATACATTGACAGGCAGGTAGGAAAGCATATTAAAACGCTCGGACCGAGCATAACAAAAGATTCAACCAGCATAACAAAACATTTTTCTGAAGACAATCACCCATTGCAACTTTAAAGCCTGATGCTAGTACTGATATGTAGAGTAATCTAACAATAAAACTAACTAAAACATGAGGAATGAAGGCTCTAACAGGTGAGACCACAGAGAAAGTGAAGCATGAATGTATACTGTACCCGTCCTTGCTCATTGCATTTGGTGAGCATGACAATAGTGTGGATGTTTTTCTCCCAGATCAGTCTCCAGAAGTCATCGACAGTGCAGGGCAGTGGCCCTTGGGCTGCGATAAACTCCTTCTTTGAAGTGTAACCCTGGAAAATCACACAGTTAGTGTGACAATTGTGTAAAGAGCTAAATGTCATATTTTTTTGTAGTTTTTCCCCTTCCTACAGGCATGTAGCTGGCATTGATGTAGTCATCAAATGGGCTGCTGAGCACAGAGAGCTTGACACGAGATGAATCATCTGTCGAGAAAACACGAACCATTATGAATATGGGCTACGTGTCTAGAACAGAGTGGAGGAAAGTCAGTGTTGTGTAACTTCACAAAGGGAAACACTTGTGAGTCCTGTGGTTCTTACATGGCAGCACATTGTTATAACGATTCTTGGCTTTGTTTTCAGGTGCCTGAGCAACAGTCTTCGGCTGATTTATCCCAACTGGCCTTAGATCCTACAAACACACACATACATTTATATGTCTTTTGTCTTTGTCTATTGATTTTAGTACATTTATATCACAAATATTTAAGCATCTGTAATAAAGCATTTGCTTCTCTGTCAATAATTCAAGAAGGGATGCGAGTGTATGTCACATATTTATGAAGGAAGAGGAACACAACATGGTCAAAGCAAACAAATCAGACACTGCTACTACAGTTTTTGGACCAAAAATAATGGTGGAATTTATTTGCAATACCAATTTGTTATTTAGAGTTGATCAGTTGGAAATATACAAAGAAGCCAAAGATATAATCACC